TTTATTTAATTAAAATTTAATTTAAAATTTAAAATTTTACTTTATTAAATTTTGATACTTACCTTTTGAAATTGATTATATATTTTAATATAATCAATTTTCAAATTCATGTTTCAATATTTAATAAAATAAATTTTTTGAATTTTAAATTAAGTTTTAATTAAATAAACATAATGTAGAGTTGTAACTTCCTCTTTTTTTTTTTTTTTTTTTTTAGTCAGAGATTGAGATATACTATCTTCTAGATATTTCTTAGAAGCTATTTCACTATAAATAACACCCAATCCAAATTGCCCTGTTAATAAGATTTTACAGCTACTAAAGATTTAGTACATTAACACTTTTTTTTTTCTAGAAAAGCAAAATTTAAAAGAAAGAAAGCTTGACAAATTCTCATTCCCTCGTGTCATTCATCTCCACTAAATTTCACTAGAATGTGTTTTGAATACGTGTTGGATTCCTATGGTGATATGTAACAAGGTGAGCACAATTCAAATTTGCTCTGATTTGTCGGCGTAGATAGCGTCTACCAATAGAAGATGATGCTCTCAATTGCATAATAAGAGAAAGTTTGCACCCTAATGTGATGCTTTTGCCAACTAAAATTAACTTGAATCTTTCAAGGAATCTGAAATCATAAAGTTAACTGCATTTCATTCATAATAATCAATTACAGATCTACAATCTTAAAAGTAGAAGTTATCGAGGAGTAATCGTTTATATAAATGATATACCATTGATTGTATACAGACATAGTTTCAAACCCTGATGACCCCAACACAGAGGTTTGAATACATATGTATAGACTATCACATTTCATGCCCATTGAACAGCAATGTTCGATATGGCCAAAAGAAAAAAGGAACAAAACAGCAATTTGGAGTCAAATATAAAAATAAAAAAGAAATAACAACCAAAAAATAAGCAAAATATAAATTTTGGATGAATGAATTGCTACAAAGGCCGTGGTGATAAAAAAAAAAAAAAAGAAGAATCTGTACCTACTTCTGCAGCAATCCTCCTTTCTACCCTGCAGCTTCCACAGTCCCCTTATTCGGCAGTGAACACCAGATCCTGCAGGACCCTTGCGCTTATTGTGTTGTGCTGCTGATTCTTCATGCTCTGGAAATGATAAAACCATCAGATATGACAACCCTTTTACTTACCAACTGCTCAGATAGCTTAGTGGGGGTGTTTTACAGAGATCTTCACAACATGGAACGACGAAATTTTATTTTCTAAGCTTAAATACCTAAGAGATCTCAAAGTATATACTGCAAGATCTGTGTGCATTAACCATTGGCTCCGTGATTTTGCTAGAGTTACCATAAGAAACTTGATGGGATCTAATCACTTCATCTAAACAATTATAATCCCAGTTTTCTCATTTTCAAAATAAAAAAAAAAAATTATGATCACAAGCTCCCTCATTGTAAGGACAAATTTCAATAGGAACATCAATGCTACAATTGTTTATTCTTTATTGAGCTTTTCAACATTTTAAAGCATAAAATAAAATTGCTGAGGAAAAAAATAACTCATTCAAAACCCAAGTTGTACAAAAAGCAACTTATCCCACTTATCCTGTGCATCAAGAGAAAGAAAACTAGACTAGCCAAATCTCCTCCTCATGACTCAAGAGACATCAACCATCCAAAGCACATAGATACCACACCCAGGCCTATATAAATAAATGCACATCTAAATACCCACACAAAACGACCAACACACACACACATGCACATCCAAATATTATGTACTAATACACTCTATTCTGCACTTCAATGCATACCTAAATACCTATACAAAACTACCAACATACATATATGTGAGTGTGACTCTGAGTGTAATATTTATGTACTAATCCATGTACATATTTATATACTCTTGTCCATGTCTCAAATATTTGCATGAATTTCCTTCTTGAATTAAAGGAAGTATTCAACCCACCCAATGCAATGTACTTTAACTTATGATTTCAGTAGTAGAACATCAGGGCATCAGTCAAAATTCTAAATCAAGTGAATATTTTCTCCTCTTATAGATTTTGAGAAATTACCAGATCAATAATTTGTACACATCTGTATTATAAGACCTTCAGGTGCTAGATCAATCACTTTCTCACAAAGGGTTTCTGACAAACAAGCAGCCGCTGGTCACTACCATTTTGAAGGTCAATAACCCTTGCATCCCATTTCATCTGTGTAGCAAGTGTCCTTGCCAGCTCTATGGCTCCCAGTTTATCAGAAAGCATAACCCATCCCTAAAAGACATAATCCCATAGTGTAAAAACAAAAAATTTCATCACAATGGCCAAGAAAGTGTACAACCATATTAGAAATCATTCCTTCTGATTTAATTAAAAGGAACATTAAATAATAGAGGACAAACAACTAAATTAGAATATTTCTGGCTGACTAAAATGGTTTGGAATTCTGTAAGTCTGTAAGAGGTTTTATTTATTTACATTTAACTATTGGAGGCCTAAGGGTGGGTGGTGGGATGGGGTGGGGGTGGAAGGGAAGCAAGATGTGGGGTGAAGGTAGGGTGCAGGGGAGGAAAGAAGTGGGATGGATGATAGAATTTCATAAAAAAATATAGCACAAGCAAAATTTAGAGATAAAAATTACCAGAGTATCAAGCAGAGGTGCAAAATCGGGTTGCTGTTTGGCAAATGAGGGGAGCACCAAATGGTGCTTCAGGTTGTAATTGTATGGAGTGGCAATTTGATGCACTAGCCAATTGATAATATATTTTCTTTATGTTTTATTGTTTTTGGGATTTTTTTAAAGATAAATTAAAACTGGGTTAGGTGGGTTGGGTAACCAAGGTGTGGACGTAGTAGGGACCACCCTGAAAGGTTTTAGAATTTTTAAAGCAAACATGAACTTGAGAGGAAAATAACCAGAACCTATCTGACCATCTTAGTTGGATCAGTTTGGTTCACCAGGAGCCGAGTTGCAGTCATATCAGCGTTTATTGCCGGTGGCAGTTACAGACACGAAAACAGACTGTAAAAAATTGAGATAAAAAACAGTGGAAACCTAGAAGTTACAACTGATACCTCAGGGCGAAGAATCCGATCCATCTCTAAAAATAAGTCCATCAAACTACAATTCTCAGAGCTGATATCAGAAAGGAGCCCATTTGCATGAAGCATGTCATATGTCCGAGGGTATGTTGGGAAAGGTTCACACCTGTGCACAAGCAGGAATTTTTATGGATGAATCCACTTTCTAAAATTTAGATTACACCAAACTTGTACTCAACCTATTATTGCCAATGATGAAAACAGGCATACAAGGATATGAAATCTAAAGACAAAAACAAGCATTCAAAACCAAAATCTTTTGTTACTGACTTGGTCTCATAGTGTCACCGTTGAGAAATTATGGATTTTTTTGTTTGAATTTTTAACAGATGTTCCTTTTTCTTTTCAAATTTTGACTTAATTATTCCAAACCAAGCAATTCAATGAGTTATTTTGTCTAATGTTTGAAATTTATATTCAACTTCAAAATAAAAATTATAGGCCTATCT